TAGAGATACTAATATGCACAAAAAACCAAGCCATAGCAAGATAGGCAATCAGTGAGAGCACAGCGATGGCAACAAAAGAGGAAACCAATTACCCATAGAAGAATAAGTTAATTAAATGAAAAAAAATTTTTAAGCAGAAAGAAAAACCTGTAAACAGATCAAGGTCTGAGTTTTGATCTCTAGGCATGTCCTTCAGTCAGGACCAATGAGGTACTATGCTCTGGCCCCCAAGTCTGTCCTTTGTACTCCCTCGGGGGCTCTCTGTTCTGCTCCCACAGTTGCTTTGCCGCATGCTTTTTGTGGTTTGCCTCCGTGTCTCAGGGTCAGTCTGGGCCAGTCCCAACACTGATTCTCCTGAATTGTCCCCCTTAGAGCCCGGGGCCATCAAGGGACGGCGTGTCTTGTGGTGGGATCAGCCATATTGTCCACTCTGTCCACAGGCTGTTCAGAGCGGGGATGTCGTCCTCCAGGCCTGGTAGGTCAGGATGTGCTTCACTCTCTCTTCCCCCTAAGTGCTCCCATATGCTCTGATCAGACATGCCCCTCTCCCCTAACTGCAGCTTCATTGCCATCCTCTCAAGTAGCTTCCCCTATGTCCACAGAGCTGGCATGGGGGAATATATTCTTTTAACAGAGTTCCCCAAATTTTTTCAAGCATAAATGAGGTTGGACAGCTTTTTTTCTGAAGAGAATTTGGGTATATAGACACACATCTCACATACCATATATACTCGAGTATAAGGGGACACAAATATCAGCTGAGGCACCTAATTTTACCACAAAACTACATTAAAAGTGTGCTGAAAAACTCGGCTTATACACGAGTTTATATGGTATTTTAGATTATGAAAGAAATACATATATTATTTTGATGGTAGTACAGCGATGCCATTGAAAGGGGTCTTGTTTACAGGGGTTATTAGTTGGAGTCAAACTCTCTAGAGGGCAAGAGTTAAACTAACCTTTTCATCAGCAGGGTATTCCAAAAGAATGCACAAAGAGGAGAGAGCTTCAAAGAGTTCCAGTAAAAATTACATTATTTTTTAAATAAATTTTTTCCTATAAAATTTTTGAAGTTTCCTTGTACAATGTTTGTCTGGGGCATTATGAGTTAGAATTAACTCAACAGCAGTGGATTTCTGATATTATGCAAAATATATATTTTCCATAAAACATTAGAACCTTTCTTCTTTTAAATACCTTTCTCTTCCTCGTAAACTGTCTGGCATAGCAGAAAAATTATCATCCTGGGATTCAGACATTGCCATTGTAGAGTTTAAGGCACATCAGAAGGGAGTGGATTTGTTGCAACATATAGCAATGTACCCCAAACAATGTGCTCAATAAACATGCATTAAATAAAAAAGGAATTAATATATAAGCTAATCTATTTCAATCTTGGTTTTATCATTTAGTAGTAGCTCTATGAATTAGAAAACAATATTTAACTTCTCTAAGCTTCACTTTATTTATGAGTAAAATATAAATAATAGTAAAAGACACCTCTATCTTATATGAGGCCTATGGGAACTAGATAATACAGATAAGTCACCTAGCATAGAGTAGGTACTCAATACACATCAATTTGCTCTATGTCTTTACTTTCCAAGTATTTTTACATACTTCCAGTTTTGATAGTATCAGGCAGAGAAAAAGAATGATAAGATTCAGAATTCAAATTCAGTGTTGAGGATCAAAGATGAAAGAAAAGAAGATTGAAAGTAAAACTCAAATATAAGAACAATGGGAGATGAGGGCCAGCAAACAGTGGGCTTTAACAGTGGAGTCTAAATTAGAGAGAAAGCAGACAAATGGAGTGGGGGCTGGAAGATAGCTATGAAGTTAAGTGCTGCATGCCAAGACCCATGAGCCATATATAAAGAGGCGTAGTTCAAGGCAGAAAACAAGGGAATAAAATTTAATTTGGAATGAAACAAAAGAAATATCTTTATCTAAATTACTATAAAATCCAAAGAAAGATTTTAAGAAATGCAGCTTTATCATTTTCAATTACATATACTAGCATATTATAGATAAGGGTTATTTGTATTTGTAAATGAATAGATAACAAGTACTCATATAAGGCTATTCATTATCCTTGGCAAGAGAATGCTATTAAAATTTTGAAACATTTTTCTGGACTAACTGAAAGTTTTGCTTCTGCTTTCTTATGCATTATTAATTTGTTATCAAATCATTTTTTCCTGATAATATAACCTTACATTTCTACTTAAGATATTATTTTTTCTGAACTAGTCCACTTCAATATAACAAGGCTTACCTGGATTTAACTATTCTTGTTTAAGTCATTCATCTTTAACTTTGAAATTTAAGTATGAAAGCTAACTTCGACAGAAAATCACATTTTGTGTTTTTTTTCCCCTTGACACTTTGACTATAACATTCAATTTAAAAAGACCTCTCAAAATGGGCTCAAGTTCCTCAAAGAGTATCAAAATCAATGATTCTTTAGCTCACAAAACTTGTCAATGTTCAGGTTTATTCTTTAACTTTATAGGAATATAAGCTTTAAGAAATTATTGCTAATAGATGATATTTAAATATGTACAGGGTGTAAAATAACTAAATGTAAATGCACAGGTGAGGAGTCCTGATGGCATAGTGCTTACATGTTGGATTGCATACTACAAGGTCAGCAGTTCAAAACCATCAGCTGTTCTGTAGGAGAAAGATAAAGATTTCTACTCCCATAAAGAGTTACAGTCTTGGAAACACACAGGGTCAGTTCTACTATGTCCTATAGAGTCAGAATTGAACTCGATGGCCATGAGTTTGAAAGTTTTAAAATATTTTAAATATAGAAACATGCCCTAGTATAGTGCTCTTATGAATAACAGCTCTACTCTGCACACATGGGGTCACCTAAGTTATAATCCATTTGACAATAATTGAAGAATGCGTTTAATTATTTTCATATACATACTTTTAACAGAGTAGATGAGTTTATCTATCAGTAATCAAGTATGCTTATTACTTGATTAGACCAATTAATAAAAAATTCACATAAAAGTCACTGCAGCAATCCTTTGCTGAATAAACATAAATATCAAAAACATTCATTGAAACAGAAGCTAATTGGTGCTTTTATGTTAAACTATGAAGGTAGGATAGGGTCCCGGGGTGGGTTCATGTTAGAAGGGCCTACTTTTGAAAATTCAGTCTTTAGACACTTTATAATGATAGGTGAATTATATGTCAATAAAAGTGTTAAAAGAAAGAAAGAAACCCTAGAGTGGGGCCAGCTCCGCAGACCTCCTAACTACATGAACATCCCCCACCCCTTACCACCCCCCCTAAGAATTTACTTCAGAGCATAGCACCTAAGCTACAGCTAAGGGAGAGGCGCATGTCTGATCAGAGTTCACAGAAGCAAACGAAGAGGAAGGGGGGAGATTGGAACATATCCTGGCCCACCAAATCCCAAGGACAATATTCCTGCTCAGAGCAGCCAATGCATGGAGAGGACCATAGGGCTGGCCCGCCATGAGACACGACATCCTCACTGACCGATAGTGCTACGGGGACAACACTGGACACACAGTGCGGGAATAGTGCCCAATCTGACCCCACCACACCAGGGTAAAACACTAAGGGTATGCAACAGAGCAGCAAGGGGAGCAAAGCAATGAAGTCCCCGAGGAATAACAAAATTAGACTTTGGGGCCAGGGCGTGGCACTCCATCAGACTTGATAAGAAAACACTCTTAAAGGTCAACAAATAAGGAACTATTTATAGGCTTTTCTTTTTTTGCCATTGTTGTTTTCTTCTGTTCTTTTGTTTTGCTTTGTCTTGGTTTTGTGCTTATTATAGTCTCTGCATGTCTACCTAGATAAGATAGGCAGGATAAACAATCTGGAGGAGAAAACAAGGGGATCCATGGTTGGGGGGGGCATGGGAGAGGGGGAGGTGGGGGAAATAATGGGGGGTGTCAACAAACCCAGGGACAAGGGAACAACAAGTGACCTAAAATCAATGGTAATAAGGGCCTAGGATGCCTGGCAGGGCTTGATGAAGAGCAATGTAGCTGAGAAGAATTACTGAGACCGAATGAAGGCTGAACATGATAATGGGACAAGAGGAAAGTAAAAGGAAAGAAAAAAAAGAACTAGGAGGCAAAGAACATTTACAACATTCTAAATACAAGTATGTACATATGTAAATATATTTATATATAATGATAAGGAAGTAGCTCTATGTACATATATTTTTATGTCAAGTATTAAGGTAGCAGATGGACATTGGGCCTCCACTCAAGTACTCCTTCAATACAAGAACATTTTGTTCTAATAACCTGGCATTCTGTGATGCTCTCCTTCCTGATGTGATTGCTGAAGACAAATGGGTACATAAGCGAATGTGGTGAACGAAGTTGATGGTGCCCAACTATCAAAAGATATAGTGTCTGGGGTCTTAAAGGCTTGAAGATAAACAAGCGATCATCTAGCTGAGAAGCAACAAAGACCACATGGAAGGAGCATACCAGCCTGTGTGATCATGAGGTATCAGTGGAGTCAAGTAACAGGTATCAAAGACTCAGAACAAAAAAATCCTATCAATGTGATTGAGGGGGTGAGCAGAGTGGAGACCCAAAGCCCACCTGTAGATAATTAAACATCCCCTCACAGAAGGGTCACAAGGAAGAGATGAGCCAGTCAGGGTGCACCAATGAAACATACAACTTTCCTCTAGTCTTTTAATGTCTTCTTCCCCGTACTATCATGACCCCAGTTCTACCTTATAATCTGGCTAGACCAGAGAATGTCCACTAGTACAGATAAGCACTCACAACACTGGGAATCCAGCACAGAAAAACCCCTCAGGACCAATAATAAGAGTAGCGATACCAGGAGGGTAAGGGGAAAGTGGGGGGTAGAAAGGGGAAACTGATCACAAAGATCGACATATAACCCCATCTGACGGAGATGAACAATAGAAAAGTGGATGAAGGGAAGACAGTGGTCAGTGTAAAACATGAAAAAAATTAATTATCAAGGGTTTAGACCTCTATAAATGTCCTTTGCCTCCTAGTTCTTTCCTCTATTTCCTTTTACTTTCCTCTTGTCCCACTATCATGCTCAGGCTTCATATGGGTTTCAGTAATTCCTCTTGGTTACATTACCCTTGATCAAGCCCTACCAGCCCTCTTACACCCCCCTCACCACTGATTTCGGATCACTTGTTGTTCCCTTGTCCCTGGGTTTGTTAACACCACTCCCTTCCCCCATCTCCCCCTCTCCTGTAGCTCATTTATAGAGGTCTAAATAAAGGCATGTACATATGTAAATATATTTATATATGAGGATAGGGAAAAAGGTCTCTGTGCATATA